GGCAGGTCCCAGCAAAGCTTCGTGGTAGCTCTGGGTTCCTGGAGCCCCTGGCCTAGCCCCAGCTGAAGGACGAGCACTTGCAATCGCCCAGGCGCCACGATTCTGGCTGACCCACAGCGCATGCCCTGTAGATCCCCTCTGCCACCAGGGACTTCTGGCGCCCACCGCAGAGGTCACTGTGCCCTGAGAACTAGGATGGGGAGGACGGCCTGTCTGACCTCTGCCCCCACCCCCTCCGAGTTGCCTTTCCCAGCATCCCCCGCCTTTCCTGCGGAGCCCCCCCCTGCCCTGGTGTGCCCCTGAGCGCCCCCCCGTCTGCTCCCCCATAGAGTGTGGAGAACTTCACGCTGGCACAGGACAAGGCGGGGAATGTCCTCCTGGAAGATGGCAAGGGTCGTTGCCCCTTTGACCCCAATTTCAAGTCCACGGCCCTAATGGTTGGTGAGTATTGGGGGCAGGATGGCCTTGTTGAGGCTCCATCGGGGGGGGGGGGGGGATGTTGAGGCTCCAGCGGGGGGGGGGGTGATGTGCAGATGTGACCTTGGGCTGCCCTTGCGTTCCTGCTCCCTCCTCTGTGCACCCCAGTTCCTGCTCCCGGTTCCTGCTCCCTCTTCTGTGCACCCCGAGTGAAGTGGGCAGGGCTGGGGTCATTGCAGGCCTGTGTGGGGGGAAGAGGCCTCTCCGAGAGGCCGTTCCCATGGGAATGTTTTCTTGGCAGATGGCGAGCTCTATACTGGCACAGTCGGCAACTTCCAGGGGAATGACCCGGCCATCTCCCGGAGCCAGAGCCGCCGCCCCATCAAGACCGAGGGCTCCCTCAACTGGCTCCAAGGTGAAGCCCTCCCACCGCCCACCCATGGGCAGGCCCAGGGGCCCTGGGAAGGGTGCCCCCCTGCCCCCAAGGCCTGAGAACAGAGTCCCGCCTGTTTGGGATGCCTGTTTGGAATTCCTGGGCTGACTCTGTGTTCCTTGCCGGCTCCTACAGACCCAGCGTTTGTGGCCTCGGCCTACATTCCCGAGAGCCTGGGCAGCTTGCACGGGGACGATGATAAGATCTACTTCTTCTTCAGCGAGACGGGCCAGGAGTTTGAGTTTTTCGAGAACACCATCGTGTCTCGCATCGCTCGCATCTGCAAGGTGAGGGGGGACCCCCAGAGCCCCCAAAGGCTCCCGGGGTCCGGGGTCAGGGAACGCCAGGAGGTCCTGCTTCTGTGACCTTCTCTTGTCCTCCGGGAAGAACGGCTTAGCTCACGGCCTTTGAATCAAAATACCTCGTATTGTTTTCTCTTATGTGTGGACTAAATTAATCCACATAAAGCTTTTAGGCATGTGGTTGAATATTATGTTATACTAGAGGCCCGGTGCACAAAATTCGTTCAGTGGAGGGTGTCCCTCAGGCCTGCCTGCACCCTCTCCAATCCAGGACCCCTCAGGGGATGTCTGACTGCCCCCTGCGGGATCAGGCCTAAACCGGCAGTCGGACAGCCCTCTCGCAATCCGAGACCACTGGCTCCTAACCGCTTGCGTGCCTGTCTGCCTGATCGCCCTAACTGCTCTCTGCTGCTGGCCTGATCACCCTACCTGTTCTCCCCTGCTGGCCTGATCGCCCTACCTGCTCTCCCCTGCTGGCCTGATCGCCCTAACTGCTCTCCCCTGCTGGCCTGCTCGCCCTAACTGCTCTCCCCTGCTGGCCTGATCACCCCTAACTGCCTCTGCCTTGGCCCCGCCACCATGGCTTTCTCCAGAAGGATGTGTGGTCTAATTAGCATATTACCCTTTTATTAGTATAGATTCCTATCGCCCCGCCATAAGAAGTGACCATTTTTAACATTCTAGAAGGTTCCTTGCTAATCTTTTTTTTTTTGCATATGTGTAAATACTTATATTTATATTGCAAAAAAACTATTTACAGCCCGGCCTGTGTGGCTCAGTGGTTGAGTGTTGACCTAGGAACCAGGAGGTCACAGTTCAGTGCTAGTCAAGGGCACATGTCCCGGTTGTGGGCTCGATCCCCAGTGGGGGGCGTGCTGGAGCAGCCTCTCAGTGATTCTGTCTCATCAGAGATGTTTCTGTCTCTCTCTCTCCCTCTCCCTTCCTCTCTGAAATCAATAAAAATATATTAAAACAACAGCAACAAAAAAGACTATTCGCAAACACGACTTGCACTGTAAATGCAGTTCTTCAGCTGGAAGCCGTGACCTGTGTCCATGTTTGTAGGGAGACTCCCCTTGGTCCTTTTTTGTGGGATTTCACAGAAAGCAAAGCACTGGCGTCCACTTAGCCCGCTGATGCACCTGCACCTTGCCTCCAGGCGTTCTTGCTCTTTATTTTATTTTATTTTATTTATTGATTTGTTTAGAGAGAAAGAAAGGGAGAGGGAGAGAGAGAGAGAGAGAGAGAGAGAGAGACATCCATGAGAGAGAATCATGGATCAGCTATCTCCTGCACGCCCCCTATTGGGGATCGATCCCGCAACCCGGGCATGTGCCCTTGACCAGGAATCGAACTCAGGACCCTTGAGTCCATAGGTCGATACTCAGCTACTGAGCCACGCCGGTCAGGCGATTTTTTCTTTTTTCAAAAAAAATATATTTTTGTTGATTTCCAAGAGGAAGGGAAAGGGAAGGAGAGATAGAAACATCAGTGATGAGAGAGAATCATGGATCGGCTGCCTCCTGCACACCCCCCACTGGGGATCAAGCCTGAAACCCTGGGCATGTGCCCTGACCAGAAATCGAACCGTGACCTCCTGGTTCCTAGGTCGACGCTCAACCACTGAGCCATGCAGGCCAGGGTGGGTGTTCTTGATTTTCAGTGGAGCTCAGGCCTGGCTGTGGCTTGCCCGCCCTCGCTGCTGTCCGTCTCAGCTACTGTCGGGGAGGGGGCAGCGTGGAGCCCCCAGCCCCCCACCTCGGTGCCTGAGCGGCCTCTCTCCCTCCCGCAGGGTGACGAGGGCGGCGGGCGGATCCTGCAGCAGCGCTGGACGTCCTTCCTAAAGGCCCAGCTGCTGTGCTTGCGGCCCGGCGACGGCTTCCCGTTCAACGTGCTGCAGGACGTCTTCACGCTGAGCCCCAGCCCCGAGGACTGGCGAGACACCCTCTTCTACGGGGTCTTCACGTCCCAGTGGTAGGGCCCCCGGACCTGGCTCTGGGGGTGGGAGGGAGAGGGGCGGCTGGGGCTGGGCCCGGGAGCCCGCCTCACCCTGAGCCCCAGCTCTCGGGTTAACCGCCACTTCTTGTGTAGGCACAGAGGGACCACGGAGGGCTCTGCCGTCTGTGTCTTCAGCATGAGGGACGTGCAGAGGGCCTTCGACGGCTTCTACAAGGCCGTGAACCGGGAGACGCTGCAGTGGTACACCGTGGCCTACGAGGTGCCCACGCCCCGGCCGGGCTCGGTGAGCACTGCTCCCTGCACTGGGCGGGGGGGCCCGGGAGATAGGGGCCTCTCCCACGCAGGGGTCACTTGGCTTCTCCAAGTCTGTCACGGCTGTTTTCTCATCTTCAAAGTGGGGACAGAAGCCCAGGCCTGCGTGTCCCACTGGGTTAGATGGGACCATGACTGTTGAATGCCTTCCAAGCTGGGGGGGGGGGCGGTTGTGGGGGAGGTATGCCGCCATCAGGGCACTCACAGTGCCTCCCCTTGGGCAGTGAGCGCCTTATTTATTTGAGTAATAAATGGCCAGGCCCCAAGAGTTTTCTTCTTTTTTTAAAAAAAATATTTTTTATTGATTTCAAAGGAAGAGGGAAGAGAGAAGAGAGAGAGAAACATCAATGATGAGAGAGAATCATGGATCGGCTGCCTCCTGCACGCCCCACACTGGGGATCGAGCCTTCAACCTGGGCATGTGCCCTGAATGGGAATCGAACCTTGACCTCCTGGCTCATAGGTCGATGCTCAATCACTGAGCCACACTGGCGGCGCTAGAGTTCCTTCTCCTTTCCTTCCAGCCTGCAGGGCTTCTCCAGAGCAGGCCTGAGCCAGGACATGGGCGTGCGGAGTACATCTCCGCATTGCCCTACTGGGTGCTCATCCCCAGCCCTCGAGCCTCATCGGAGGAGGGTCTCACTCCTGGCTACCAAGTCTCAGGGCTCTTACAGAGAGAATCAGGCACTAACTGTGGGCACCTCATGCCCCCCCACTAGGATGCTCACAGAGCAGGCGGTGCGGTTGTGCTGCTCGAGGCCTGGGGGCTTTGCCCTGTGGCTCCACAGGCCTGCTAGTATGTGCCATGGCTTCCGAGGGTGGGCGTATGCCCTGCCGCCCTTGGGAGAGGCCGACCCGGCGGGATCTGCGGGGACCCCCTCCTGTGCCATGTGTCGCTGGCCTCACGCCGCCACCTTCTCCTTCAGTGCATCACCAACAGCACCCGGGAGAAAAGGATCAACTCGTCCCTGCAGCTCCCGGACCGCGTGCTGAACTTCCTCAAGGACCACTTCCTGATGGACGGGCAGGTCCGCAGCCGTCTG